AGAGAGAGAGAGAGAGTCAATGAGTGTGTGTGCATATTGTATTGTAAAATGTAATATTGGCCACAATTATAAAGATTGGACCGGACTGTTGATCTGATTGGTTTGATTGCCAACTAGTACTTTGGCTAGTTTGGTTCAAGGTGGAAATTGGGTTTAGTGAAAAAGTTGTCAAAACTAGTTTTTAACTAGTTTGGGCCAATTCAGACCGGTCAGGTTTTAACCGTATTGATTAGCTAAATGATGATTGGCAATTTTAATATATTTTAAGTTTTAAATTATGATTTTTATTTTAAAAAAACTTTATTTCTAAAAGGATTGTTTAGAGACTATTTATCTTTTGTACATGGAAGTTACAATTATACTCACTTATTAGATGTCATATTGGATAGGTTTGGGTGAGTCATGAAGTTTGAGATTTTTTTTTTGGAACTGTCCACCCATTTTGAAATTGAAGGTACAAGAATGATTGTGACTTTCATGATCAAAAGGTAAATGATCTCTTTGTATACAAATCCAACTCTAAATTGCAGTTCAATTGGATTAACTGTTGGATTAATTGCTGGACTGATTTTGATTGAACCGAACCCCTTATAACCTTATAGGTTTGGTAGTGAATTTGGTCGTGATAACACTGGTACTTGTTTCCTTATGAATTTAAGTAAGAGCTGGTATAGTGTGTACCCTTGAGAGCATATGCCTTACACTTAATCTGAAATGTGGGATTGAGTTTAGAATCACCAATTCAGCATTTTCATAAACTTGAAAAGAAAAGTCTATGGCAATCCAAAAAGTGGGGGTCTTTGTTATATTGAGTTAAATTTCATTCACAAAGCTTTTTTTTATGAGTAATGATCTTATGAGATCTTTCTACATACATGTGTGTAGAATTTCAAAGGATCACCATTAAATTTGGTACAAATCTCTAGCAAAGTTATCACATGAGGGTGAGATTTGATTTTTTTGTTTTTAGATGTGTCAAATTTAACATTTTGGTTCCTATACATATAGGTGTGGGAGGGTCTAACAAATTCATTTCCCTTTTTTTATATATTAAAAGTAATAGAATTAGATAAATATGGGTTTTGGTAAGGTCGCATGAAATTTGGTAAAACCGCATCTCAAAAATCTCCCAGGAAAACTAGATCTGGGGTTGTGAAACCTTGGTGTAGCCCGTAAATCCGTTTTCAACCTTAATTGTGGAATCTGAAGTTCAAAAAATAGTGCAAATCACACAAACCAATAAAAACTTTAAAAAAGATATTGCAGAATAAATTATATTTAGTTTTTGCAATCTATTTTTTTTCCCTACATCTTTGATTGTCAAGGTGATGATGATCGCCTTGTCTATTGCATCCCACACATTCCTACTACATTCCAATGAGGCTTGAGGCAAGGATATATAAAAGGTGTGGTTTGTGTAAGGCTGAGTACGTAAACAATCAAAGTAACGCACTAATGATGTCGTTTTAATATTGAAAATATTTATGATTGTCTGAAAATTTATTTTCATTTTTAGTTATAAAATTTGAATTTTATAAATAGTGTGTAGATCAAGCAGATTTATGAATATTTGAATATCTACGGTCTAGATAATGCATTGCGTGACGCATATTTGAATATCTTGAAAATTGACGGTCCAGATAATGTATTACATTTTGCACTATTTTCAAAACTTCAAGTTCGAGATGATTGGATTTGAGAATTTTTGAAAACATAACTTTGATTTTCTTCTCCTTGTTTTTCTTCGTAATAGTTGGGTTGGAATGGAGTATAGGATACTATGTTGAGGCATCAGTTCCTATAACCACATCGAGGTCTACTACTTATACATGAACACGAGAACACATGAATCTTTTGATTTTCAATTTTTGAGGTGATTTATTTTGTATATAAGAGCAAATAGAATCAAAACATGAGTACTCTTTATTGTATTTTGGCTTCAACATAAACAAATTGCATTTGACAGTTAAAGAGAGAGAGAGAGAGAGCAGTGTTTCAACCTAAACAAATTGCATTTGATACTTAACGAGAGAGAGAGAGAGAGAGCAGTGTTAAAAAAAAATCGAACCGCCCTCGGAAACTGGCCAAGGGCCGGTTCAACTAACTTAACCGGACAAGTCTTGGCTGGTCAAAAAAATGAAATAAAATAAAAAATACGAAAAATATTTTTTAAGTATGATTGAACAAAACATATCCAAATAAAGTTGAAAATTAGTGAAAAAAAATAGATTTAAAAAAATTGATTTATGCCCAAGTGTATTTTTGTACTCTACAATATTTGCCAAAATGATGAAAAAATTTCAAAACACATTAGAAACAAGTCCTTTATTTTTTGAGATTTTATATAATTTTTTTATTTTTTTTTTAAAAATATCTGACTGGATTACCACAACCGGTCAAAACCGGCACCGATCACTTACCATATCCGATTTGAACCACCCGATTTTGCAAACAATGAGAGCTAGACGTACCATAACCAGTCTAACAAAGTGAAAACACACATGACAGAAAATCAAGAAATTTGGGGACTTCATATAAATTAACTTACAAAGCCCAATTTGAGCAGGCCTTTGTATCTTACATCAGATGTGTAATTCTATGATTAAATAGGATTTCATCATATCTGGAAATCAATAATGCAATCTCCGAGCTTCTCGGCGGCCTCAATCTCAGATAAAATTTTCAGATAATTCGAGGATATCTTAGCCGAAGAAGATAAGCTGGCCATTGTTTTTGTGTATGCTCTTTTGTCTGGTTTGGATTCAGAGTGGGTGTGAGTGCTTACACCGCCGGTTGAAACCTTATACTGGGAGCAAGCTTCATTATCTGAACCAGTAGCATCAATCATCAGCCAACAGTGAATCCTCTCTCTCTCTCTCTCTCTCTGTGCGCGCTTGAGTTTACGACTGGGTTTTCTGATCAAAGCTACCCCTCTCTCTCTCTCTCATTATCTCGGCCTGTTGTTATAAGATTCTCCCGTCGCTCCTTTCCCGTGAAAAAGGATCGGAAACTAGCCTTTCCTTTCTAAATAGTTAAACATCCGCATCATGTTAATGCTTGAAGGGTGCACAGTTAATTTTGTTTTTTATTTTCACTAAATTTTATTTTCATGAAAATTAGGACATCCATGCATCTAAGAAGCGTATTCCCAGTAAAAATGAAAAAAAATAATTCTACTAAAAAATTGACCCTTAACTGTTTCAAGAGTATTTTGGTCAATTTTTTATTGGAATTTTGTTTTTTTGGTGCATTATAAAGATGCATATACACCCATTTCCATGTCAATAAAATGTGTAAAACGATCAAAAATAATAAACCAAATCAATTTATGGCTTTCAGATCGATCCAAATTCAATGTAAACTATTGAAAGCATGCTTGCGCATCTTTCAAGCGTCCATGTGGATATTATTCTTATCCTTTATATTAGACTGCACATGGGTATAACTTTCTCTCATGACTCCTTTCCCATTCTCAAGAAAGAAACAAATTTTATCCTTGCCTTTGAGACGAGTGTGTTTCTCTAATTTGTTTCATGAAATACATGGTATATCAAATTATTCATCCCTAAAAATAAGTTGGGCGTTGAATCTGATGTCAAATTTAAAAATAAAACTCAGGTTTGTTCCTAGAGGAAATTGGAGAAATTCATTGGTGTGGTTTTATTACCTTGTGGTTTTGTGGATGTATCTTTCATAGAGCGTGTTATGCATAACCAGCTTTGATCTCTCTCTGTATCATGTTCCCTAGCGAACGGGATGTGCCAATTTCCGTCCTCTGACTCCTGCAGTTCAAAGAGATGAGAAAAGGAAAAGCATGAGAATATTCCTTCAAGATAATTAACTCTGTGTCTCTCTGTCCATATATTGCAAGAAAAACATGTGCATACATGTGCATCCAAGAGCTGGAGAGACAGACGGACAGAAGCGTATCATTAACAGAGAGAGTACAATCCAAGATCTGTGTATTTTGTGTGTATGTGAGTGAGGGAGAGAGAGAGTAGCATCTCATTAACACCTTAAACTTCAAAATAGTTTTCATTTTCTATTGGAGAGAGAGAGAGAGAGAGAGAAACATATCATTAACAGAAGACACTTCAAAACCTCTCATTCTGTGTGTTTGTCTGCACGTGTGCATGTCTGTGTTTATGTGTTGTGTGTGTGTGTGAGAGAGAGAGAGAGAGAGAGGCATATCAATAACTAAAGGACACGGTTTCTATGAGTCCATGAACTCGCATGTAGAAATGCAGGACCCTTGGTAATTTATTTTTTGAAATAGAATTTAATCCTAATTTTTAGGAAATATATAATCTTTAACATGTAGACTATTAATATGTAAAAATAAATAAACTTTAAAAACTAGAAATGATATTTTTTGGAGGAAATATTTAAACGACTGATTTTACTTTTTCTTTGGATGACTATTATTTATGGTGTGGATCTACACTTTCTTTGGTGGATGTTGTAGATATCCAAGCCCGCATAGTAACAAGTGCATGCTTGGACGCACCAAACAATTCTCCATAACAAAAGTACTCATCAACAAATCTACTACTAGAGTGAGTGTAATGAAAAGCACTCCTAAAAAAACCCTCCGACTTCTGTGAGTGGATGTTGAAGGAATTGCAGACCTGAATGACCACAGAGCAAGGTGGGGGCATTTGAAACACAGGGCCACTGGCTTGGAAAGTGAAATGGACCTTCACAAGCAGCAAACGAATTTCAGAGTTAGTAGCCGGATAAAAATGTTAAGAAAATAAACTAATTCTCAGCTTAACCTGCAATAGCCATTAAAGAAAAAAGCTCAGGCATAGTATCCCCAACTTAAAAGCCAATAGCTCCAGTTGAAATATCTGTATCCTTCCAAATGATTTCAAGCAAATTTACAACCCAAGACAAAAACTTGCCGAAAAATATTGTGATTCGCGAAATTCAGCAAACAATTCCCTGGCTAGGTGACCTCAAATTTCTTTTGAAACTGGAGTCATATGCTAAAGCTTGGCCTATAGCGATCCCTTGATCACATCAGCGGTCACCTCCGACCCCAGGGTCATTGAGTTGAATTCTGATGGGTGTTCCCTTGGTACCTGGGGCCAGCGAGCATGGGTGGTACCTTAGGTCTCACGAATCCACAAAGCTCTATCCCTGTCAGGGTCCATTTGCGTGGCTGAGGCCAAGCTGCAGCTGGAAGGCCTTATGTTGTTCGACCATTATTGGGGTTCTGCCTTTGTAGAAGAAAGTGACTCCATTAATTTCATTTGGTGGGCCTTTGCCCCTGGTATCCCCAACAAGTTTTTGATGAAGCATTTGATATATGCAATTCCGTACAGATGACTTTCGAGCATGTTTGAAGAGTCAAACTCTGTTGCGAATACAGTAACAAAGAATGAAGCAGGTACCATCGGTATCCATGTAACTAGATTTCAGTCCTGTTTAGGAGCCTTTGGTGAAGCATGTTGTACATGTTCTGTTTTGGTCTGGTGGCCAATTTTGTATAGTTCAAGATTTGTTTCCTCTAACTATTTACGGTATAATATACAATCAACTTTTTTTAGGGAAAAAAAAAGAAAGTTAGATATAGGATTCCAATTGCTGAATAATCATTAATGAATAAAACTAAAAAATAAAATATTTATTGACTAAATGACTAATAATCCACCTGATGTCTTTCTTTCCATTTGGGGAAGAAATCATTCCCCAACAATTGAAATATGTGATCCCGCATCTCATCGTTGGTCACAATCAAGCACTTGTACTTGATAGCTGCATACAACCAGTACCTGAAGCATAGGTCAATACCTATAATGGCTTTATTTAACTGTACAAAAACATGAAACAAGTAACCAGTATATACTTCTTGGGATTGTATATTATAAGACCATCTACTCTCAGACTTTTGATTTCAAATCTAACATTCACAAATGACTGTGACCTCATTATACAAAAGATAAATGGTCTTATTGCATGACAATTAAGTTACAGATATCCCAAAGCATCATACTTATCAAAACATACACACATAAACATGGATACGTAGTTTATATCTATATTCGTAATTCGGTATTTGGATTTGTTTTTGTTCTTTTCACCATATGAGAAGGATATACATGTCTAAAAATTGTAATGACATTATTTTTAAAATATTTTGTTTTCTACGATACTTTTTCTACAGACTGAAAATTTCTTTTCTGGACATTTTTGTTATGCATTTTGTCGAAACATGTGAGTAAACTTGTTAAAAAAAGGGATATTATACTGTACACGGCCTTTGTATGATATACGATACAGTAATAGGGTCTAGTTTCTGTTCTCAACAATGCAGGAGGAGATTAATTTGTACTAGGATGAATGTCTGGAATCGGGAACTACGATCATTTCACCATTCATCGTGGAGAATTGATGGCAATTCCCTCTGTTGTTTACCATATACTATACACAAGCTTAGCATGACATATTGTCTTCATGGAAAAACTGCATTGGCTTACCAATCATCATTTGAACCAGTCGGGGTGGCATAAAGTGCATCAGCATTTTTCCATTTTTCTATCACTTTTCTATCAGCTGGCTCATCTGCCTTCCCTCCTTGTATACGCCTATGGTGCACAATGATCAGCGGCCATTTCTTTGATGGGAGCTTCTGTCTAATGCCATTAACAACAGCATTGACCTATGTATTTGACAAGAAATGGTGAATTACTCGAAAGAAAACTCAAAATCAATTTGGGGTTAAATTTTTTTGTGTAGATAGGTATAATAAGCTGAAACCTTTTAGGCCTGGGAGAGGCCCAATAACTTGCCTTGGACACCAAGAAGCGTTTTTGGTTCATAAGGCCCACATTAGCAGCATCCACGACGGCTTCAAATGGTCCATAGTAGTCCAGCCATTTCTGTACTACCAAAACAACTCTACCTTATTAAGCATACAACAATAACAATTCACAAGACTCTCTTTCTCGCTCATACTCTCTCTCTCTCTCTCTCTCACACACACACATACACACACGCACACACAAAAACACACACAACATGCATGCATACGCAGTTTGATTGCTTTTTAAGTTTCAAAGGGAAATACTCCCTGATCTTGGGTAGGTTAGCCATATAAGTCTTACTTAATCAAAGTAATGAAAATGGAAAAGATAAGCTAGATAAGACATGAAAATCCAAGAGAGAAAAATGCTCTGAAACCTAAATGGAGGGTACAAAATTGAAAGAGACCTAAGTCTAAGAATTACATGCCTTGAGCTTTCCATCGAATATGACCAGACAGCATAAATAATTTCATCAACACAGGTATCAAAACTTAAGCCTCGCATATAAAGAAAGAAGTGAAAATGGGTTCTATATTATAAAAAATAAAAGAAAGTTGCAATGGGTTATATGCCAAAATTTATAGTGCAGCATTATACAAGTGAATGGAGTTAGACTTTGTCAAGTGACATAACTTTATTTTGTGGGGGAGTATACCATACTCGAATAAGGTATGATATGCCCTATTATAAAGGGGTATCCACTGCTAGCTTCCAATGAGAGACGGTGGAGATTAATCATGCCTGAGCGAATGTCCCGCAAGGACATCTTTCAAAAAGCATTAATTATCTTGCAGGATGCCATTGTAGCTAATCTCCATTCTCCACTGTCCATCACCAGGAACAGATGGAGGATACCTCTTTTGAATACCATATGCAGAACTCCATCGGATTATGGTACACCCTCCGCAATTGGATGTAGCACACATACTTCACAAGTTACTCTTTTAGTACATAAACACAATCGTTAGAACAATAATGTCCTTTATTGTCGAAGAAATAAAGACTTCAGTAAAATGTTTATTGTATGATGTTGGATGAACATCCAAATGAGAAATTGCAATTATCATGGAAAAATTAACAGGCATTCTTTTTTATTCAATTTCTTCTAATCAATAGCAATCTACATAGTTCACTTTGGAACTTCTAGGGCTCAATTGTTTTACACACAAGCACATACAAGAAGCTAGTGTTGATAGAATACAATATAGCTATATTTTATATTTGCATGAGAATTGCCATATTTCAAACTCATGTATACCGAAGTAAATTAATTTATGGGAGTATTACAAACTTAGATCATCCTTAGAAATGGAGTCCACTCTTTCATGCACAAAATCTTGCGATATCAAACATATGATCATGATTTATACCTGGAAATTTTGGAAACTCGAATTCCTCTCTCTATTTGCAGCTATGGATGCAACCGATTTAGCAAAGTTCTCTGTCTCAATTGGATCAATATCAATTGTCACCAACTTGTGTCCGCAAGATCCACAAACACCATCATGCCGAACACTTGTTCTCTCAGCTTTCCATTTGCCCGTACCTAACCAACCTTGACCATGCCAACCTCCTCCACCATTAACCATAGCCTGAACTATTCTCTCTCTATTCCACTGTCTCTTTCCTACCCTTGAAGCTGCTCTCCCCTTAAACCATTGTTCAATGAGCTCTGCTACAGATGAAGAGACCTGTCTCACACTAGTTCTAAGTTTATGTAAAATATAGTATACCTTCTCTCCTCTACCTTCTAAGACACTCAGCTTTAGAAGTGCCTCTAATTCTGGCTCTTCAGGGAATACCACACAATCCAACATGTGGGTTTCGACCTCGAATGCTTTATCAATTTCCCTATTCTTGCAAAATGTGAAGAGTGCAGGGCCATAGGATCTTAACCTTGGGGTTATAGCCAATTCCTTCATTTTCTTCACCATTTCAAATGCCAAATCCCCATTGTTAACAGACATAGCCATTCGAGCCACTGCAGTTAAAGCAGCTTCACTCAAAGGGACTTTCTCTAACTTCATCTTATCGAATATCTCGAGTCCTCTAGAGAGAGCATACCTTTTCACTTCATCAGGAACACGTATACCTTCTTCCTCCAAATTCTCTTTCATTTTCTCAGACTCATTTCTACCCATTTTTTCAGAAAACCCATTTGAAGATTGTGAGTTTGAATCCAAATCTTTGGAGAAACTACCTAAAAACTGAGAACTTGATTCTGATTTATGAAAACCCTCAAAATCCTCTGTATCACTAATATCAGATTCTATAGGGAACTGACTAGAAAACTGAGAATTTATGTCTGAATTGTCAAATTTGGAGAGAGAAACAGCTCCATTCTTATCCATATCTAGAGAAGAATCACCTAAAATCAAAGAACTAGGAAGCAATTTATCCTGAGCCTTATTACTCCCACTCTTCGCAGGAGTAACCAAACCCATTGCAGCAGATGAGCATAGATAGAGAAGCACATTATAGTGATACTGCTTCAACTCTGCACCTTCTTTCAAGGCCGAATCATAAAGCGATAGAGCTCTCAAGACATTCCCTTTCTTAGAACACATATCCAACCCAACTCTAAATTCCACTGAACCATCTTTGTCTCTCTCAGATTTTTTAGCTCCTGTCTTTCTCTCTCTACTACTGGAACTAGACAATTGCAAGGTTATCTCTCTCTTACTTTTCTTAGTGCTCTCGCCTCCCTTAGCCTGCTCTGAGAAACCCAATTCAGAAAGCCCCAAGTTTTTCTCTCTCTGTTTTTTCTTTGAATTCTTGTTGATTGTATCAAATCTAGCTCTCAAATGTACTGAACCATCCTCATTTTTCAAGGATTTCTTATCCCTTGTTTTTCCCTCTCTAAAACCCAAAGTAGACAACCCCAAAGTCTTATCTCTCTTATTATCTTTGGAGTTATCTCTGTGTATGCTCTTCTCTGCAAAACCCAATTCAGCAAACTCCAAGTTTTTCCCTCCTTGCTTCCCATGCTTGCTAGAGTTCTCATTGCTTATATTCTTCTCTGCAATACCCAACTCAGAAAATCTCAAGCTTTTCTCTCTCTTGTTCTCCCCAATGTTCTTACTGCCTGTGTTATCATCTGCAAAACCCAAGTTTTTCTCTCTCAAGTATTTATTTGTCTGAGCTTTAAAATCGAGTTTGGTTTTGCATTCATCACTATCAATGGAAAGATTTCCAGACAAAGTTTTTGCATAAATTCTAGAGAGAGAAAACATAGAAGAGTTGCCTGTTAATACTCTAGATGAAGCATGCATAAGACAAGGAAAATGTTGGGTTTTGTGGATAAGTGCTTTTGGGTACTTACAAAGAAGGAGAGAAGCGTGAAAAGGTTGCTTGAGTTCCAGAGGACTGAAACTTGAAGCCATTTTTTATGCTTTTGAGAAGCCTCACATATGGTCTTTTTACTCTTCATTTAAAGGAGTTGCCAGACAGAGAAAGAGAGCGGCATATGAACAAAAGCGTAAGAGAGAGAGTAGTCAGTGGATAAAAATACGAATCATAGGGATTCGAGAGAGAGAGAGGAGAGATTTTTAGAGACAGACAGAAGCTATAGTTTCAATGGATAAAGACTATGAATTCAGACAGATTTATAGGAGAGAGAGAGAGAGAGAAAGAGAGAGAGATTTAGGGGCTATAGTTTCAGTGGATAGAGAGATTTAGTAGGGGGAGAGAGAGACAGAGAGAAAGAGAGAGAGAGAGAGAGAGAGAGAGAGAGAATAGTGTTAGAGGTAGGAGGGAGGTAGTAAGACGCGTGTGTTTAGTTAGTAGGAGGTACAGTAGACGAGTAGTCGTCGTTACTTACCTTTAAATAG